GCCACCACTCACAGGCCACTTTCCACTCCCAGGAGTCTTAGGTGATGCTAATTCACTTTTCACAGCCAAAACTGTCTTCAAACATGAAATTAAAAAAAACAAAAGTCAGCACAAAAAAAAAAAAATAAATAAATAAATACAATCCTAGTAGCTATTTATCTACAAATAACAACCTCATTGAGAACTCTTTGAAAATCCCCATCTTTGGGTACTGAACATAGCTTTGAAATAGTCATATTCGGTTCAACAGTTGGTATTGTTACAGGGCATTGAACTGGTTTTACAGATGGACCGGATGTTAATCCGGTCAAACATTCATCATCATACACATGGAGTTGACCTGGGTTGGTCAACACAAAAAGTGAAGTGCAATTACTTTCTGTTGCACCAACATTTGGTACCAATTCTATATCCGCATAAGAGCCATCAAGTGTTAGGTCAAAACGTTTAATAAACTTCAAAGCTTCTATCCCTGATGACAAATCAAGATGCAAAATCTGCAAAACCCAGAATATAAAATAATTAAAAAAAGTAAAAAATGAGGGACATGGAGTGGTATTTAGTAAAGTGGTTTGAAAGAAATGTTACTGTTAGGACTTCTTCAGATCCAATATCATCGCCTCCATAGACAAAGAGTTGACCGGATCCGTTGCGTTGACTATTTGGACACCAATGAAGAACAATAACTGGGAGTCTTTTATCACTTGAAGAGAATTTTAACTTAACAGCATTTTTTGTATTTTTATTTGTTTTCTGATTGTTAGTGGATAAATTCCATAATATAATATCTCCATCTACATAACCAACAACGAGTATTGACCCATCTGGAGAAACCCAACAGAGAGCACTTATTTCCTTTTCTATCTGCTCTTCATCTGATTTATAATTTATACTTTCACGCTTGATGTCGTTGTTAGAACGAATTACTATTTCGTCCTTCAGTTGGAGATCTTTATAGCCTCTGATGAGTAAAGCTTTATCTTCAGAAACATCCCATAAAATTATCAACCCATTTTGATATGCAATCAGCACTCTGCAGATTAAGGAAACTACTGTAAACAAAGTTACATGCAACATAACTTAGCCCAATCCATCTATGCACATTATGACAGATTGAACTACTGATCATAAAGAAAGAAAATAGGTAATGAATTGCATTGATAAGCCAAAAAGAAAAAGATTAATTATTTTCCATACCTCTTCCCAGTGGAACATGGTTGGGCAAGAAGTCCCACAACAGACTGATGCTCAGGTATTTGAACCCCACCTCCATCTGCCAAAATGGAAAGTAGTAATAATTATATAAAAAAGGTGCCAACTATCAATTAGTAGAAGTCACTAGTGAGAAATTGCATTACCAGCTATGAGATCTGGAGGAATCTGATAGGACATGGGTTGGATATTCCCTTCTTCAATGTCATACTTCAACACAGACAAATATCCATACTCATCTCCAACATACCTGTTTGCGATAATAGGCAATTAATCATGAACATTCCTATGATCCTTTTACAGTGGATTGAAAATTTGAAATGTAAGAAACTTTTTGGGAAACTCACATGTAATTGGTGCTACAAATTACAGAGAATGCACTTATATTGGATCCCCATTGTAAATTAGCAGCCAACTGCCTCCGTTCTAGATCCCAAACCTTTCAAAATCAGAAGCACTTTAGTAAGGGTATAAGAGATGAAATTACATGGACATATAGATATCATACCTGTACTTCATTTTCATTTGAGACACTGACAAGAAACCCTTGGTTTTGTATGAACTGGAAGAAAACAGAAGAATGTTTGTTAAACAAGAGGTGACATCATTTCTATAATTCTATCTTCGGAAGGATATATTGCATGTACAACAACATGAAACATATAGCCTGTTATGAATTTTGACAACGTAGTGAATGATAATCTAAAGGGCAAGTTACAGAAAAAACATTATATTTTGAACAGTTTTGCGGTTTGATCACTAATACTTTATTTTTTCCAATCAACCCATAAATTTTCAAGAATTTTTCCAAATTAACAATTCTGACCTGTTATATTAGGTTTCACTGGTAATTTTGTTATGTTGGGTTTCACCGGCAATTTAGTATACTACCCATTATGACCTGTATATCAAGTCAAAATGGTTAAACTGGAAAAATGTCTGAAACTTTTATGGTTTGATTGAAAAAAATAAAGTATAAGTGTTTAAAACGTAAAACTGTCCAATATATAATGGTTTTCTGTAATATGCCCTAAGCTAAATGCACCAAATATAGACATCATTCATGCTCTCTGTAATGCCTACAATATCTAAGTCTATGTGATTAATTAATTTCTGAATCCAGTATATCACTATATCTAAAGGATAATAAAGAAAAATAAAGCACCAGAGTGTTGTGATGTAGACAATAAAATTCAAACCACCAATATCAACACAAATTAAATATATTATGGGTGTAGAGAAGCTCAAGAACCTCTAGGTTTTTCAAGGGTACTGGCTTTGGAGATATTAAAAGGCATTCAATGTTATCACCACCAATCACCTTTATCCTGCCATCCCTACAGTACCAGAAAAACAAAAAAGAAATCAAATCAAATACTAGTAACGGTAATAGAATAATATTTTATGGGTGTATAGAAGCCAAAAGAGTGTTGCTCACTATTGAAAAGATGAATATTGTACTCACAGTGTGCCTATAGCTAGTAACTGCTGAAGGGGGTCAAAGGCCAGGATTGATGCAGTAGTTGGGATCCCATAATGAACAACAACACGTGGTTTAAAGTCTTTTAATCGTGGATCATCATCCTGGAAAAGAAGCATGTGCAGATTTTCAAAATTATAGCAATTAGTTTGTAGAAAACATTAGCAAAACAGAAGATAGTTTGATAGATTTGAAGGGCCAGTATAGCAAAAACGCATTGGCAAATATGCTATTTTGCTGCAAACAACACAAAATGTGATAAGAGTAAATACTGCAGCAACCAATTAGAAGAAAAGGTATTAGAAAAACTTAGAAATGAGATTTGAGATATGACTTGCAGTAGTTGGCTGGAGATAATATTGTCTATAACACATGTTCCTAATGCTAAATGGTTTCAGAAGCTGGCTGTGTAGTTTTACCTAATGCAATTTTGCTCCTAAACCCTTGTGTTCATGTGCATATGTAGGGTTTGTTAACGAACTACATTGAATTAGGCAGACATCAATTTTACATTTCATGCCGAGATTTTATGCGTAAACTACTAATGATCATTAAACAACTCCATCTATCAATTCCAATGGCTTTCTGTTTCAATTTCCTGTTGTTTCTCAATAATTAAACACATCGTAACAAGATCAAGCTCCACAAAACGAAAGAGACTAATTTTTGAGCTGATCAGAGACTAAGACACGGAAATATGTAACTGATGAAGGAATTAAATTCGCTAACAAGCCATATGTCGAATCTGAAATCTAGGGTGAAAATTACCTCCTGTTGTGATGGTTGCTGCGGAGTTTTGTGAAATAATTTAGCAAACATAACGCAAGATTTGAAGGTTTACGAGCTCCGTAGCTCCTATTGCTTCATAATTCTTCCTGTTTTTCTCTTTAATGGCGTCTTGCGTGTGTGCATGTTCTTAGAAATATTTACGATTCCACTCCACGGTTAATCCGAAGTCGTTGGGGACGGTATATCGTGTATCGCGTCACAGAAAAATATTTCCATCGCCAGTGGGCCGGTGGCCGGGGCATCACCTTGATTTGGGCCAAATGAGGATGCTTTAGTTGGATTGGGTTTCAACTTTTCAAAATGGATCAAATCTTTTGCTTCTTTTTGTTTTTAGATAATGTATTTTATGTCAACAAAAATTTGTTTGTTTCAAATTAGCTTTAAATTCGTAATAAAAAAGAAGTGGATTACATACATAATTAGTATGAAAATTGAGGTTATCATTTTGTTGCACAGTTGAATTAAGGTGGAAAAAGAACAGTTGAGAACTCTATTAAAAAATAAAAGGAATTCAAAGAGGCCATGATGAGTAAAATATATACCTTATGCAAAAACCTAAAATGAGTAAAATCAAACACAAAAATGGTAGTATAAGCAATCAAAGAAAAAGGGTTTGAAGAAAATTGAACCTTTTGAGTTTTTGAAATTAAACCCACCACACATCTTCTTTTGTGCGTCTTCTTGATATGTCGTCAAGTCACATTCCACAGTGTCAATACCATTTTGATAATATGATATTGTGTAACTTCCAAATTGATTAATTTTATGAATGGAAGAAAGCTCCAACAAGATACATAGAGGAATAAGAAGTCAGATGGGTTTCCTGCTTATAATTGGCTTAGGGATTGATTACGTCTCATCTAGCTTGTAATTAGGATTAGATTGACCACAAAAATGACCTCGTGTGAGGGGCACATGGGTGGAGTAAACGACACAAAATAAGGACCAACATCACTTGATTTGGAAAACACAAGACCATACATATACTTGTAGGAGGGTTGACCAACGTATCATTAAGTTGTCATTTGCTGGAAGCCGCAAGAACTAATTGTTAGATTCCGCCAAATTAAAACGACATTGTATCAATCCTTTTTAATTCACAAAGGCATTATACTTGAGAATTCCTTGCATGCCATTAAAATGAATACTCAAACTTTATGTATGTGTAATCTATTGTATGATGCCCCATATCTTATACATTTCTATGTATGTGTGACATTGTATTCCACTTTAAACTTTATGTACATTTCAATCCATTGTGATTTCACTATTAATCAAAGCCTTAGTAACATCAACAAATCAACTTTCTATATTTGAGCTCATTACATGCATTTTCATTAGTTTTATTTCAAGAGTACAATCCTTTTAAGCATATGCACATCTTTAAAGCACTTGCATTAGTTGTATTTAATCCTTTATTTCGGTGTAAATGATATATTTCGGATCGAGTCCGTATCTTCGTATGCGTTATTATGGGTCGAGAACCAAACTCAAAATTTGGCCCAGTTGGTCCGCTTAAATGGGGGATAAACATAAACCATGGCCAATTGGTCCGGTTACGATCTCACCTCTCTTCGATTTTCTCTTCATTAGCCTCGGCCTCTCGCTGCTCTTCGATCTTCTCCTCGTCGATCCCTGTGACTCTATCTGTATCGGCCTCTTGCTATTGTCCTCTTCGATCATTCTGCACTCATTGGCTCACGCTCGCCTCTTAAGTAGGTATAACCTAATTTTGTTCATCTTTATTAATAGACCCTAATTTAATTGTTAATTGTTTGTTGTTGTTGGCTACTTGGCTTAAAACTGCTTATAATATGAGAAAATGACTTGAGTTGATCTGATAATCATCTAATATTACCAATTATATTTTTCGACTCTTATGTAAAGCTCTGCAACTGCAGGGATTTCAACTTGTCAGTGTTATAACGTGAGAATACATAGGCCAAAGTTATAGTGTATACTAATTCCTATTATTTGAATTGCTTATAGGCACACTATGTTAATTACTGTTTTTTCAAATTGAATTTTAAATTTATGTTGCTTGAAGTGATCAGGTTTATGAATCATCCAATCGTTCAAGTAGGATCACTGAATCATCAGATTGCTGCTGAATTCCTTTACTAAGTTCAGTGATTACCAGATTCAAGTCAATAGCTAAAGCATAAACTCTTGGTGTTTTGTATTCGGATAATCAAAACATGAGCATAGAGCCATTTAACAAGTAAATATCTTATTTATTCATATAAAGCAATTTTTTAGTTTTAGTTCTGTAAGTTCTTTAAATTTTCATCAATTTAGGTTTGATTAGTTTATAATTATGATGGATTTAGATTGGTGAAGTTGGCGGCGAGGGCATTTTACGATGATATTACTGCAAAAGGAGATAACCAACCGAAATCAGGGAGGAGTGATAATAGGGGAATTGCTGTTGTAGTTCTTGATGCTCTCACGAGGTAATTTGGTTTTCAGTTCATAGTGATTATGTACAAATGATAATTAAGCAGTGAATTATTGCATGTGGGTGTGAAAAGTAGTTGGTTGTGGAATCTTCCAACTTTTTGCTTTGGCTCAACTGTAAACGATGAATTTGCTCGACTCTCTATGTGTCCATCCAGTTCTTTTAAACTGGTTCCATGATCAAATATTATTTATCCTCACACAGTCTTGAAACGCTGAATGATATAAACCAATAGCATCCTAACTTTGCTGAATCCTTAATATGTTTAATTATTCAATCAGGGTTAGCAGTTATGCAAATAGGTTTAGCAGTGGCCATTAGGGAAGTGATGAAAAACTTATATGAGAATTCTTTACCCATATTTTGATTTGACAATAGTCTCTTCTAAAACACAACTCTGGATAATGCTTCTAAGAGAAAAATACAATTACAAATGGCAATCAGTAACATTCTCTGTAGTTTCTTGTTTGTATTTGAATAGAAGTGTAGGGGTTTCAAACAATTTTTAGTTAAAGGGCAGAAATATGAAGTACATCATCTTTTATAATCTAACCATGCTGCGAAGAAATACCACCAATCAAAAAGTATACTTTTCTATTTGTGAAATAACTTCTGCATTTCGGTTTTAGTCCTGATAATGGTTGATTCATTGACTAGATATGCCCAACTCCGACTATTTAATAGGATGGAGGTAGATGCTTGATTAATTTAGCACAAAAGAGAGTACATTAAGGATTTGCATAATTTTGTTATATCTCTCAAGACGAATTAGGTAGTTATCTCATTGGAAAAACAGGGTGTAATTGGTTCCTGACCTGTCTGAATTTAGTACCTATACTTTCTTTTACAAATTAGTCCTTTGAATCTCCTAGAATTTGCAAACAGGCTCGCAGGACCTTCTCATCCCACAACAGCATACTGAAAAAAAATAAAAAAAATCCCGTAAGTAAAATGAGATCAAATCCTGTATAGACTTTTAAAGATAGTGTTTTGTACTAGCCTATACTAGATAACCATTCCACTTTCAGTACCGAATAAATATCTTTTTGTCAAATCAACTTGACTTCTTGAAGCCAACAGACTATACCACTGCCACAAAAAAGTCATAAATTTGGAATAAGATTCATCAAGATAGAGGGCAGCAGTGGAAAAGCATGCCTCTTCGGAGAGAACATAACCAGCTGCTGCCCAAAGGGTGACAGAAATCCACCTTTCTGATCTTTTACATATTTTAGATCCATTTGCTAGGAATTGAGTTCACCAATCTCATCTTATCATTTCACCTTTCTGTGATTGGAAAAAGTTATCTAACCAAGGGACATGTCTTGGTTCAAAATCTAAGTCAATGATGAAAATATAGTCAATACTTATATGGACAAAATATCTGTCCATTGGGATTGCTTTAGTGTTTTGGACAACTTAATGGTAACATAATTAATATTCAAGATTTCCAATATGCAAAAAACATAACCAAAATAGCTAGTGGATTGATTAGATTCGAGTATATGGCAAAAATGATCCCTGTTTGTATATTTTTTTTGGTTTGGATCCGAAAAATATTCTTTTCTATTGTTGCTCCCACAACTCATTGTAACTCCGCAAAGTTTAATGGATTGTCATATCAACATTTCACTTTCCATACGAACTTTGTCATTTAATTCATACAGAGTTTAATGGAATTTATTTATGTAAAATAATTAAGAAAGTGGGCCCCATTTTTCCATTCAACTCCAAATCCGTTATATACCAACTTGGCATCCCACTATGGTTGGGTTTACTTCATTATATGACAACTTGGCATTTCACCTCATTCAACCCATCCATTGAACCATGCATTGTAAATGCTCTTATGTCATGGTTTGGTAATTTTATTGAATTGAATATAAGGGATGCCAAAAATAATGTGTTCGACTCGGCCAATACAAAAGAAGCTAACAGCTTAATCACACTCTGTAACCTTATACAATCCCTTCTCGAAAACATAATCAACCCTTTATTACAACATTTATTTTTGTTTATACATTGTCTAGCAACCCCCCGCTCTCTTCTTTATGGGAAATATAATTAAAATATGGTTTTATAAATTTTGTCTAATAGATTTGCATTTATCTATTGTTACTTAGACGCCAATGGGTACGCGAAGAAGATTTAGCAAAAGATTTGAAGTTGCATTTAAAGCAACTTCGGAGGACTTTGCGGTTTTTTGAAGAAGAAAAACTGGTAACCAGGGATCACAGAAAAGAGGTTAGTTTCATATATATATTTTTTATATGTTTAAAACATTATATTATATATAACTGTAGTCGGATATTAATGAATAGCTTTTATATTATAAATATTACAGACTGCCAAGGGTGCAAAAGCCTATAGTGCTGCAGTTGCTGCTACTGCTGATAGTCTTACTGGAAGAGAAGGAGAAGAGAAAATTAAACTTCACACTCACTCTTATTGCTGTCTTGACTATGCACAGGTTTTTCTTCTACTGCCAACCCTGTTTCTCAAAGAATGTTGTTTGTTATGTACAGTTAGAAAATTTGTTATTTGATGAAAATAACTTTAATCAAATAAAGATGCTGTTAAATAAATTTCGTATAAAAACAGTTTATGTCATCTGAAGCATATGCTATCTGTATTTGAAAAAGTCAAAAATAAGTTTTTTTTGAGCGGCTTATTATTAATCACTCTAAAAGATTACATACAAAAAAAAGTTAAATGTAATGTGTTATCATGAAATCTTATGATAAAATCATAATCATAAAATACTTTTAGTTGTTTTTAGAAATTAGTCAAACAAATTCTAAATGAAGCTTTGTTTTTAAACATATTATTTTTATTAAAGATCGTATAAGTAAAATTAATTTGTACTTGTAATATATCATTACATTTCATCAATGAATGAACGAAAAAACACCCATCTCTTGTAGAATGAAGAATCACATTCCATTCCTATGTGGCAAAAAATAAACAAGAGTTTTTTCTCTGATTCCATTCTGTTTGTTGTTGCAATGCAGATACATGATGTGGTGAGGTATAGATTGCACCGGATGAAGAAAAAATTAAAAGACGAATTAGACAACAAGAACACAGTCCAAGAATATGTATGCCCAAAATGTGGAAAAAGGTTTGATAATATTTTTTAACGAAAGATGTGTAAAAAAAGAGTCAAAAATATTCCTTCTTAACCTACCCTTTTTTCAGATACAATGCTCTGGATGCTATTCGGTTAATCTCATTTGAAGACGACTCTTTTCATTGTGAAAGTTGTGATACCGAATTAGTAGCAGAAAGTGACAAATTAGCTTCCCAACAAGATATTGGAGATGGTGATGATAATGCAAGAAGACGACGTCGTGAGAAATTAAGGGATTTGCTTCAAAAATTGGAGGTATGTTTCACATTCACTGTAGGAGTTTTGTAACATTATCGTATTCTTTTTAGGTAGTATTACTATATGGTATGCAGTAATCAAAGAGGGAATGGGAATGGAGCATTCCTCACTGAACGCGATTCTTTCTCCTTACATTCCATTCCTTGAACTTGAAGAATATAGAATTTCAATTTAGTTATATATTTATATTCCGTGTATACTAATTCTATTTCAAAATTTCATGGTATTTAAATTTTTATTTTTGTAAAAGACTTTTTTTTCCAAATGATAAATCAGTTTTTTCTGTACTATTTGAAAAGCATGCTGTTTAATGATATGAAATATATTTAACGATAATAGACTTTCTCTAATTATACATAATAAGAAACAAGATGGTTCCATTCCTTGGAGCCAAGAAAACATGAGAATGTGAGTTGTTTGTAATGATCCATTACTTTACTCATTAGTCATTACATCTGTGTGTGATTACATTATTACAGGTGGAATTGAAGCCTTTAACAGATCAGCTTGGAAGAGTAAAAGACCTTGAAGCCCCTGATTATGGAACTCTTCAAGCATGGGAAGTACGTGCAAGTGCCGTTGCACGTGCATCTAATAATGATCCTGGTGGCAACGATGCTTCTAGATCCGGACAGGGAGGGACACCTATGCCGTTTCTTGGAGAGACAAAGGTAGCTTTAATTTTTTATCACCATTTTGCCCTTGATTAATAATTATTAATAGTTAATTGGAATCATATCATGTTATGTTAATACATACAGGTTGAGGTGGCTTTTTCTGGTGCTGAAGAAAAGGGGGATATAAAACCTGAGAATGCGCCTATGAAAGTGTTGCCACCATGGATGATTAAAGAGGGGATGAATCTTACAAATGAACAGCGTGGGGGTGTAAAGCAAGAAGAATCAAAAATGGAAGGAGGAACTTCTTCTGCTTCTGGAGCTGCTGCTATGGATTTCAAAGATGACAAGAAGTTGATTAACCAAGAGGATGATGTCAAGAATCTTCAGGTTGGTTTGGCTTCATTTAACAGTGTATATAAATATAAATAAATATTAAAATGGTGTTTTTGTAATAAAAGCTGATGATATGATACTTTTGTATTGTAGGATGAATATTTCAAAGCGTATTATGCGGCTTTACTTCAGAGGCAAAAAGAACAAGAAGAAGGCACCAAGAAGGAACAAGATTTGCCTGCTGCTGATGTGGAGGCCTCAAACTCAAGAAAACGCCAACGTGATGATGATGATGACGTGGAATGGGAAGAGACTCCAACTGCAGCAGGTAAATTAATAATAACATTTGGATATATTTATTTCTTATCTTGTTCAAAATTCAAATAATTAAGTATATTTTTAAACTATACTAGTAAGCTGTGAAAACCATTTTAAAAAGATTAGCATGATCAATTGATGCATGATGCTTTATGAAGTCTAAACTCTTATTTTATAAGTGTAGATTATTTACTCAAGTGTAAGTAAACAACATTAGACAACTCTCACAACTACATATCAGTCAAAAATAGCAGCAACGTACTTTTAAAAATTCCATTTCCCAATTTAAGTAAATAAAACAAGCCGTTGCCATTGTTGTTGGAGGTTTTGCAGGTGAGACTTTCAAGGTTGACTTGAATGTGGAAGCAGCTGAGCCTTCAGGTGATGATGAAGATGATGATGATGATGATGAATTGATTGGGAAGAGGGTTAAGTACCTGTACTACTTACTAGAAGAAGAAAGCTTCTTCCCAGACTAGAGGTCTATTTTCTCACTTTAATTTGTAGTCATCATCTAGTGGTTAACAGGAGAAAAAGAGTTTCTGTTGTACATCTTATGAATGTGAAATGTGTAGTAAATTGGATTTATATAAATGAAGTTTGTTTTGGGAATTTGTTAATCAACTAACTAGTATCATTTGCTGCTGCTTTGTAATTGGGTTTAATCAACGATGTGAGTGAGGATTAGATCCTAGATTAACTCCATGGAAGATTGGAGATGAAAACTGTATAGTGTAAGGTTGTAATGTGATGGAAATGCAAGAGTTTTGTCTAGATATAAAAAGTTTTATTTGATATTGGTGATGATACATTATTCATCAAAAATCATAATTGGACAAGTTTTTGTATTACAGATGGGGAACTCCTTCCTAAAAGCAACAAACGTCCCTCTGGTTTTTAACCCATATTTCTTGTTGTACCTGATCAAGAATTGATTACCGAGAATTATGATTAATGTATTACCTGATTTGGAATTTAGCCAATCAGGAGGTGTGCCAGTATTGGAGAAATTTTTTATGAGAAATAACTTGTAGTTTTAATGAATGGTTTCATAGATTTTGATGCTTTTCGAATAACTAGTCTCTAAGCTGACAGCATGTCGAAATATAGTGTTATATGTTGAAATTTTCATTAAATGAATAATGTCGATATCAATGAATCGATTCCAAATTCAACAATATCTTCCTCTAAATGGAAAATTCATAAAGGGAATGTTATAATAGAGAAAATGTGGTAAAGCGTCATCATACCCTTAATTTGTAGTTGTCCCTTTCTTTTCTTCTTTACTTGACTGTATCTCCACCTGAAACCTTTATAGCTATTATTACTTTGTTCTGACCACATTTTCTGATCACGAGTTTGTCTCATTTTTTTTCTGATCATAAATTTAGTGATTGTGATGATGGATTGCGTTGGTGATGGCATAATGATGGTGAGTTCCGATGGTGATGTTCTGTGAGGAATATCGCTGTGAAGAAAAAGATTCACGTAGAGATACAGTACAATTATATTCTCTATGTTCCGATGATGGTCTGGGAGACAAATTTAAGAGAAAGATTGTTTCAGAATTGTTACAATTCAATAAATTTGTATTGCTTTGATGTAAAAAGTATAGTCTATTCTTTTAAGAATGACTAAGTTTTATTAGGTAGTCTCTTATTGTTTTAAAAATAGTTAGAATTTAATAGATTCTTCGTTGTGAATCGTGTTCTTGATCTATATTTTTTTCATTCTCACGAGAACGAAGTTGATTGTTAAAGAATAATTATCAAGTTTTTTCACAATCGTGTAATTACTTTTCATTTTACCGGAATATATTTTATTTCTTCAAAGAATGTTTACATTCTTCACAAGATTGATAAATTTACAATTTTAATTTTTATATTTTTACCAAAATGGTTCTTAAAGAAATAATTTTTTAATGTAAATAAAAATAATAAATTTGTTTCCTAAAAATCTGAAATTCATTATTTTGTTTCCTTAAATAAAGATAGATAAAATGTATCAATTACCCCTAAGACATTTTGAAATTTGAATTCATAAAAAAATAATAATAATAAGTTCAATAATATTCGTTCAAAAATGATTATATTTTTCATTGATCCAATGACTAGGATTTTGTTACATGGTTATACAATAGATGTTAGTTACAAATGATCATAACCTATATAGAGATATATATATATAGATATAGATATATAAGATATATATATAATATATATATATATATATATATATATATATATATCTATAATATATATAAAAGCCTAGGTTATTCTATTCAAAGTAATTATTATGTTATTGTATGCATAAATGTGGGCCAATCAAATTTACTTATTTTAAGAAAGTGATTAATATATATTATTGAATTAAATATAATTGAAAATATCATCTTAATTAATTACAAGGGTAATTTAGTCAATTAATATAGATTTAATAAAGGAAAATTGCATTTTTTAAGGGATCATAGATTCTATTAATTTTAAAAATCCGATTTTACGTATTATAATTTTTTTAATTCGAACATTCTGACAGAATATGTTTATGAGTATATTCAAAAATAAAATATTCTTGAACCATAAATAATAAAAATATTCTTGAACCTATTTCTTGATCATGAATTTAAAAACTTCTTGTAGAATAACAAATCCTTGAATAATCAATTGAAGAATAAAAACAAAAACACATTATTTATTATAGAATACGGGTAACAATTGTTAAGAATTACATTTATTGTTAAGGAATAAAACTAAAAAACAATCAAAACGGGAAAGAAAACATCAAAATCTAACAACGACTAATACATTCTAAAAGAATAATGTGGTTCGTTTCAATTTTGTGGTCTGTTCTTCAAGCAGCAATATCTGTGATTCCAACAGAATTGGAATTCGTCTTTCCATTCCAATAGAATTGGAATCTCACCAATATCATCCATTGAATCATCTATATAAACACTCTTCCATTCTCTATTCTTTTCTGCATCGATTCACAATCAATATTTAATACAAAAGAAAAATCACCCCTGCATTCCTTCTCTTCTTCGTTTTCAGTCAAGAACACACCACCGAAGTGTATGTTTTCTAGTGCAAACCTGAATGAAGAGTGGTTTATGTGAGTTTTGAATTATCATTCGAAATCAATTGCAGATCCAAATCAATTACGAGTCAATTTCAACTACGGAAAGTTTCATCAACGAGATCAATTATATGTAACATTGATAATTTGAAAAAAGAAAAGTACCAGGAGCCAATTTTCGATAGGGCTCAACATTTAAGCTGGAAAACTGATAATCTAAGATGATTTTTTCATGATTGATTAGACAAAACTTGCAAAAATATATATTTCCTAATTCAGAAAAAGACTTACGTCCAAGGCATTGTAAAAAATATATGAATGGGTATTTTCAGTGCCTCCGCAACATGCGTATGTCTTGCAAACATTTTTTTCAAAGTTACTCCATAAATTTTTCTAACAAAAAAAAATAGAAAAAGTTACTGAAAGTAGTCTGCAGAAAAACAATACCGTATGACACTTTTACGTATTATAATATTTTTATTTTTGCATCACTATGTGAAAACACAAACACTAATGACACATACATATAATTACTTTGTCTGGCTTTTCATCGAATACCTGGAGTGCAGGTTTGGTGCACAATCACAAATTATCAATAAAAAATCAAACGTGACCATTTGAAGGAGGAGACGATGGCATCTGATAAGTTTGACCACATTCAGTAATAAATATCAACAACTTCACATCGACAATTCAATAAAGAGGTGGAAAATAGGAATCGGGTTGAATCGACAAAAAGAGGCGATTACCTGATGGTGAATGTGATCTCATGCCGATGGAGGAAAGGGATTAGATTCACATTTTATTTACCTGTTGATTATGTGTGTGTGTGCGCGAAAACAGCAGAACCACCGATTGGAAGCAGCTATTGATCGGAAGCAGCGAACAGGGGATAAGCGATCATATCTTTGTTCTGTTTTGGAGCTAGGGTTACGAATGAGATAGAATACAGTATTGTTTATTGTTTTAAAAAGGAATAAAGGTAGGTCAAAGTATTTTCCATAATTATAGGAGTGTATTTGTAGAAATTATTTATCAAATTACTAAATTACCCTTATTTATTTGTTTGATTATTATTTATTTTTTAAATATTGATTGGCCCACATTTATGCATACAATAACACAATACTTAGTTTAAAACAAATGAACCTAGCTTTATATATATATAATATATATATATATATATAGATATATATATATATCTATATATTGAGTTTTTATTTTTTTCAGCGAATTTTAGAAAAAAGCGGCGATTTTTTAAAAAAAAAATTCAAAAAAAAGTTTTGTGATCTCTAATTATTTTTTTATGCATTTTTAAGATTTTCGGGTTTTTTTTTTAGGGTTTTTTGTTTTCCATAGAACCTAAACCATATATATATATATATATATATATCTATATAATATATACTATATCTATCTATATATATCTAGATCATTATATAGTCCGTTCCAATGTTTTTACCTATCTATTGTGTGTATGTAGATTAATTCTGTACTAATAATTTTAGTTATTTTAAGAAAGTAATTAATGCATATTAAATGCTGAAAATTTTAGTTAATATTCATTATATCTTCAATATATAATATGCATTAATTACTTTCTTAAAATAATTAAAATGATTGGTCCAGAATCAATTCTATATGCACACATAGATAGTTAGAACATAATAACCTAACCCTATATAGATATATATATATATATATATATATATATATATCTATATATATATATACTATATATATATATATATATTATATATATATATCTATATAATATATCTATATGGGAGAGATCGGTTGAGAACTCATAGTTTCCCCGAGAACCCGAGAACTAAAAGTGAAACGTTCGATCAAAATTAATTCATTAAGGGCATGATCGTCCTCTTACCATCTCATTTAATTTTTATATTTTTTTTTTTTGTTATTGGCAATTAATAGAATGGTCTAAAAAATGACATAATATAACCATTTTCAGATTTTTTTAAAAATTGTCTTTTTTTGATTTTTTTTCCGTGCAGATTTTTTTTTTCCTTTTTTTATCGAAACCTGCATTTTTGTAAAAAAATGTGAAAAAAACCTTTTTTTTTAGCCAATAAACTGCAATTTTTTCAAAAGCATTTAAAAATCAATAAATATTATAAAAAAAACTGGAATATTTAAAAATACTTTAATTTTTTAACCAAAAAAATCAACATTTTAGATATATATATATCTGCATATTTTTCACCTGCATATCTACCTATTTCCATATACTATAATCTTTGTAAGGAAATCATAAGAAACTCCTCTTATTTCCTCATCTCTAACCACAATAGAAGAAGTTTTATTCGATAAAAAATAACTATAAAAAACAAAATAATGCCACAAAATTTCAAAGCGTTTCATGGTCTTCGTATCAGCTTTTCCATATTGTCTTCAATTTATCATTTTTCCCCTCTTCCATATTCAGTTATTCACCACCGTTCTTCCAAACTACAAGAAAATTTAAAAAAAATTGATTGATGCAATAACACTCATAAAAATACATATGTGATTTACATGTGATTAACATATGAATCACAAGCGATTCAAATGTAATTTATATTTGATTTACATGTGAATCACATGCAATTCATATGTGATTTACTTGTGATTTACATGTGAAGCCTATATAATTCATACGTGAATCACATGTGAATTACATGTGATTCATATATAAATTACACGTGAATCACATGTAATTCACTTGTGATTTACATGTGAATCACATATAATTCATATGTGATTCACATATGAATTACATGTGATTTATATGTGAATTACATGTGATTTACATGTGAATCATATGTAATTCACTTGTGACTTACATGTGAATCACATGTAATTCATATGTGATTCACTTGTGATTTACATATAATTCATATGTGATTCACATGTGAATTACATGTGATTAATATGTGAATTACATGTGAATCACATGTAATTCACTTGTGATTTACATGTGAATCACATGCAATTCATATGTGATTCACTTGTGATTTACATGTGAATCACATATACTTCATATGTGAATTACATGTGATTTACATATGAATCACATGTAATTCACTTGTGATTTACATGTGAATCACATGTAATTAAAATGCTCAAAAGTTGTTATGTTGTGAACAAAAAGAATTCAAGTTAACCATTTACATGTGAATCAAATGTAATTCATATGTGATTCGCTTCTGCTTTACATAACCAAATGGACAACTATTTATCCCAAGTTGTTTCTAAGCTCCTAGAGTACAACAATCAAATATAACAAAAAATTGTGATTTAAAAAAACATATATGGTATAGGAAAAACAGTTGGAAGGGACATCTTTTTTAATACAAAATGTTCACTAAGCATCTATTTTTAATAGCAAAATATCTAAGTATGCAATATAATCACCTGCCATCATTAGATTTTTAAAAAAGTTAAGTTCCAATTGTTTATTTATAGAGAGATAACCAAAAAAACTTGGATAATTGATCAGTTTATAAAAAAAGGTTATTCTTTATCCCATGGAGATTATTGATCATTTTACTAAAAATAAATAAAAATTAAATAAGAT